CCTAGAGGCTAGCTCGGTTCGATACTTACTTGCAACAGAAGTTGCAACCAGCTTGCTAACATCAATCCGTTGATGGCGTTCACTTCGTTGTCCACTGAAAAGTAAGGCAAGATTGGCGCAGACCAAGGCATGGTCAGAGTCCAGATAGGTACTCCAAAAGGAGCGGCAGTCTTGTACACAACCACGCCAGCGGTAGCTGATCGCGATGTGATCAATCTGAGTCCAGGCTTGAGATGCAGAGGGAGGACGCCAGGTGGCACATCGGCGATGACTGTGCCGAAAGTTAGTGCTAGCCAGAAACAGGTTGTGGTCTGCGCAAAGTTGCAGTAGACGGTCCCCGTTATCTGACCTGCGACCAACGAGTCCCCATCGGCCACCTAAACGACTCTCTTCTGTGCCTAGACGCCCGACCTGAGCATTCAAGTCTCCGGCTAGTACTACAATATCTGTCGAACGCACTTTCTGGAGAAGAACTGATAACTGGTGGTAAAACTCATCCTTGATTGCATCCGGGCTGCAATCTGTCGGGGCATAGGCGGAGATGACGAAAAGACATCGTTTCTCACGCCGATTTCTTCTCACTTTGATGGAACTTTCTAATCTAACAGCACATAACCGACTGTTAATGGGGATCCAATCGACTAGTGCTGCCTCAGCTCTAGCGCTTAGTGCGACACCAACGCCAGCAAAACCAGACGAAGATGCCACAGGGTCCCCGGATAAGCGCACGTAAAACAAGCTTTTCGAAGCGACAGATGGAGATCGAATTTGTAGTACTTCGCCAGAGTCTTGAATACGGGTCTCGGATAGACAACACACGTCGATATTAAGACTTTCCAAAGACATAGCCAGCCCTATCTGTTGTCCGACCTGCATAAATGTGCGAACGTTGAAGGCAGCCAGTTTGAATGATGCACGTGGTTTCAGAAAATCTGCTTCAGTCCTCGTATTCGGTGGTAACATACAATTTTCAACCGGACAGTGACTCGAGAACGTTTAGATACAGTCGGAATTCCACCAAAGACGAACCGCTGTATAAGTATAAAAGAAGGTGAATAATGTGGAAAATAATAATAATAATGATAATAATAACAATAATGACAATAATAGTAGTAATAATAATATTATTATTAATAATGACAATAATTGAAGTGATCATAAATTGAATCAATTGATTGTTTTTCAAAGCGACAAAAGTAGTTTCCATAGACATAAAGAGTTCATCATTTGTGTGTGGGCTGTGATACTGCCCGGGTGCCCAAACCGAAGCAGGTGGTTATCTTAGGGGGCCACTCCCCGAGCCTTTGACCTAAAGGTCTAACCCACAAGGCAGTGGAGCATCGTAAGGAGATGCAGTCCCATGGTAGCCGGTGACCAACGATTGGTTCATACGCCATTCGTTCCCGCAGGATACTGGAGCCCATGTGCACCATTGGTTTGGAATCCGGTTAAAGCGCCGGACATTCGCTTCTCGTCCTCTCATTTTCGTAAACAACACCCCCGCCACGAGAAGGCAATGAGTAGGACTTCCCTGGCAGAGGCTATATACGCGTGGCCGTGTGAGAGTATTTCGAGAGGGAGAGCGGACTCTCCCCACTCTCGGCCGTACCAGGGCATTCAGGGGCCGGCTTAAAGTGTGGTTTCTTTTTAGCACTGATAGTATTTGTCAATTGGATAAAAAGGTTAGTAATGAGTTATTGTACCTAAGACTTAATAATTGTTACCGTGATATTTGAAAATCTTGGATTTGATTTCATATATAGTGATCTTGAGTACTGTTAGAATTATGAAGCCGGTTATCACTTCCCGGTTGCCCACATCGTGGAAGGGTTCTTCTAGAGGTAGGTACATGAAAAGGAATTTGGATTAGAGGTGGTCTTAGTGACCTGAGAGTGTGACCGCAGTACCCAAGGGACAACTGCTTGAGGTCGGTCACACACGACCTTTTTGTAAGTAACTTTTGTGTTAGCTCCGTACTTGTTCAGATCGTACCACCGGAGGTTGATATCCGTAGGATAAGGCGAGGTGTGGATTTTTAGGGTCAACCTTTTCTAACCCCACTCTTCCTTTGTGAGAAGGCAGCATCGTTGTTATGCTGGTTGTCTGAAGGAAACACCTTACTGCTGTCACACCTCTGTTTAGTCTGTAGTACGACTTTGCCTTCGAACCTTGGGTTTGCTGTTATTAGTCTGACTGGCATGGTAGGACCTTGAGGAGCTATTGTTCCAGTCAGTATAACTCTATTGTTTCATCACGATAGTCAAGCCCGATCACCACTTCAAGGTAGAAGCAACGGTCTGCGATAAACTTGATGTAAATCATGAAGTCGATCCTCGTTGGTGGTCAGTAGATGCCTATTTGTTAGATTTGCATAAAACAACTATCTAATATTTAGAACAGGGATTTTGTGGAGATTGTATTAATTTTAACATTTGAATTGATGATTCAGTCTAAGTTTGACGACCATTGAAAACCTGGAGGCACTGGAAGACCGTTTCATCCTAGTATGGGACTTTTCAACAGTACACATTCACGATATGACACACAGGGCTCAAAACCGGGACCTTCGGTCTCGTGCGTGAACGCTTAATCTCTATACCACTGAGCTTGAATCCAACGGTGTTAATGTCTAACTCCAATTGATCCATGAATTTACCTAACCCTTCATCCATTATTTGAGGTGGATAACTGTCTCCATCCGGCATGGATTAACTCCACTGGTCACGGTTTCTCACGATAAACTCCAAGTAATCGATCTTGAAGTTAGTCATTATTAAACATATGGTTATTATCACAATAGGGATTTGTCAAGATTGAACTCATGAATTGATCTAAGCTAGAACGAAATGATCGTCTATTGCTTTCATGTTTTCAATAATACTTTAACTTAGATCAACTTTAATATTTCTTTCACTTTCAATATTTGTCTAGTTTCATTCAATGACAACTAGAAACTAATTTTAATGGATTTTTAGTATGTTTATACACAAAAAAAACGGATCGTTAAACATGTACTTAAATGAAATTTATAAAATTACTTCTGTTTTTTTTTACATTTTCTTGTCAAAATCAGGAAAACTGTACACCTTAGTTTCTCTTTTTTTTTCTTTTTTTCGAAAATAACCCACATACGCACAGACACATACACACACAGTGATAAATTTGTGTTACTAGTCAAGTTGACTACTTTATATTTTACTACAATTGAATGCTTCATTTATCGATTAAATTTCATGTATAAATATTGTATTGTTAGTTGAAGTGGTTTGTTCTTAGTTTATAAAATGTTCGTTCTTTCTTTCTTTTTTTTTTAAAAAAAGAGTACGAGTACTTCCACGTTTTCCATGGTGGCCTAACTTCAATTGACTCATGATCTGAACTATTGAAATTACTATAATATATCCTTAAAACCGCTTTGTGATACTAATCAACATATGCTTACTAGTGACTGGTTTCAAGAGGTATATCCTGGAGTTCTAGTGAAAAACAATGACCAGTGGAGATCAACTAGATCAGTTGTGAGATAGTAACTCACTCATGAGAATGGTGAATGTGTCGCTCAATTTCATGCATTAGTTGAAGTTAGACATTAACAGTGTTAGATGCCGGTTTTGCTGGTCTAGTGGTTAGGTGCTCGCGCGCGAGACTGATAGATTCTGGATTGGAATCTCATGGGGGGCGGGATCGTGGATGTGCACTGATTAGGAGTCCCATAATAGGACGAAGCGACCGTCCAGTGCTTCCGGGTTTTTAGTGGTTGTCTAACATCAATCAGTTCATGATCTCAATCAAAAACTTAATCTATACAACTCGAAACTGATAATCAATATTCACAATAGTCTTTTAACTAAATTTAGAAATATTTAAGAGTTTACAACTCTATAATAGTCAAACTATAATTCGATTTCAGAAAGGGTTTTCTGGATATCATAGTAATTTTAATAGTTGAGATCATGACTTAGACTACCAGGGAAAAACTGAATGCACTGAATGGCTGTTTCTTCCTAATGTAAGTTCGAATCTGTCGAGGCGTGATCGTGGATGCGCAGTGTTGAGGAGTCCCACGGTGGTCTAGCTTCAGTTGATTCATGATTTCAACTATTGAAATTGCTATAATATTCACACAAAAAAACCCTTCTGATATTTACGAGTTGTTTTATTTTCCAAAAAGAATCATAGAAGTGACTCGGTGAAATGTAGATCAACTTCAATACTAACTTTATTGAATATCAGTCATCATTATCGTTCCATTATATGAAAGTCTAGATATATTGTTAATAAGTTCAGTCATTATAATTAATGCACAAATCCCTAAGTAGGAGAAAGTATAGATGTTACACTTAGTATCAACACACCTAAAATGACAAATGTCAGATTGAATGTATCATTAAGAATTGCACAGTAATGAACAGATATTGCATTTTAGCATAGAACGTTTCCACCTCAGAGTACACCAAGAATCGAATATTTGACTTTGTAGGTCATGAGGCTTATGTTTCACCTCTTAAGATACTTAATCAAAATCTAATAACCATTATTACTAAATTCAATCAACTCACCATATAACACAAGGATCATTCCATATCATTTGTATTGATTGTCTCTTTCGCAAGATTGTTGAACTCGTTCAAGTGTAAGTTTCCACTGGAGTGTCAAGGACTCATTTCGTAACAATTTTTCACCTCATAAATTAAACATAATTGAAAATATAAACTGTTGGATTAAAATATTAAATTATCTGATGGTTAAGTGATCGTTGTACAAGATTAAAAGGTTTTAAGTTTGAACTCCACTGACTAGATTGTAGGTGTGAACTCCTGTAAAATGGTATAAACAAATCGAAACAATTTTTCAAAGAATATTGATTTTTCAGTTGTCCATTCTCAAGTGTAATATCAATGTGTGATGAAAGTGATCGACTATGGTTGTATTTTTTCCAAATGTTCATTTCTACATCTTCCCCCCACTGATCTCTTTCTTCTTTTCTTTTTGTTTTGCAGGATAATAATCTAGTTCGACATTTAGATGCATGTGAAACAATGGGCAATGCAACAGCGATTTGTTCAGACAAAACTGGTACATTAACTACAAATCGTATGACAGCTGTTCAATGTTTCATTGGTAATAAACATTATAAACGTATACCGACAGCTTCAGAATTACCAGAATCTATCACCAATCTCATAGTAATGAATATATCCATTAATAGTGGGTATACATCGAAACTTTTGGTAAGTAACTATGATGTTGTTGTTGCTGTTAGTAGTAGTAGTATTCTTTTTTTTTTCTTTATCAATGTTAAATAAAGCGAAACAAAACAAGAAAACATTATTGGTAAGTCTGACACATAAATATTTAGCCATGGACTTTGTAACCACTTTCTAGACCCCAGAAATATGTACTTTTAAACCTTGAAAAGAAAAGATGAGATGTATAAAATGAGCTTTATTTTCTGAGCACAAAGTATTTCAGCAAGTTTCCTTTTCTTATTTCTTGATCTATCCTGATGATAATGTAATGAGTGATAGCCAATTGGATGTTAGCAGTTCAGAAATCAACATCTGGATAGTGTTCATTCTTTTCAATACATATTGCCAGCCACCACAATGTCTCGGATTGCACTTTTTTGTAACTCGTACAATGAAAGGTCGTAAACTTTTCATAAACGCATCTGAATAGTTTATGCGATTAATAGACATAAGAAAACAGATAACTTGTTGAAATATTTAGATGACAAGAACGGGTAACCCGGATAAGTAACCCGCCATAAGTTGTTGAACCGATCGGAATTTATGTCAAGCCCCTAAGTTGATTATGACTGGGGGAGCGACTGATCGGTCCAATTTTCAATGGCTTTTTCTTGTAATTATAACAAGATCTGAACCATAATATGTAACTCAGTTGATCTAAATCATTTTTGCATTTGATTTAAAGTTAAATGTTTTGAGAGATCTAAACATAACGTCTGATTTTCAAAACTTTAGTTGATCGAGCAGTAGCGACGGGACGGGACGGGGTCCAAACCTCTACAAAATTAGTTAACTATGATCAATTTCGAAGTGATTGTATCATTGACTTTTAATAATACTACTTCCAGTGCTACTTTTTATTAGTTATGTTGTATTAAATTTATTTTTTATACAAAGAGACAATCTGGAAACCAATTTCATAATAGTAATTAAGCGTCATTTATTAATTATACTTCTAAAAACGATGAACCATTGATATTTCCACGACAAGAAATAAGAACACAAAGACTTATACAAGTGAAGATTTAATCACCACCTAGTTTTATTTATTTTATTTTAACACATAGATATTAGTACAAAGAGGCACCAAATACATATGCGCCACACAGATCTCATTCGATATGTGTGAGGGCTGTGATACTGCCCGGGTGACCAAATCGAACCAGATGGTTTTCTTAGGGGGCCACCCCCTGAGCCTTTGACCTAAAGGTCTGACCCACAAGACAGTGGAGCATCGTAAGGAGATGCAGTCCCATGGAAGCCGGTGACCAACAATTGGTTCATACGCCATTTGTTCCCGCAGGATACTGGAGCCCATGTGCACCATTGGTTTGGAATCCGGTTAAAGCGCCGGACATTCGTTTTTCGTCCTCTCACTTTTGTAAACAACACCCCAGCTGCGAAAAGGCAGTGAGTAGGACTTCTCTGGCAGAGGCTATATACGCGTGGCTATGTGAGAGCATTTGGAGAGGGAGAGCGGACTCTTCCCACTCTCGGCCGTACCAGGGCATTGACGTATATGTTGATTTGTATACCCATTCTGATTGTTAGTTAGTAACAAGTTACATGTATGAAAAATGTTTAGAATTATAAATAATCACATGCTGGATATCATGTTGAACATAGTTCACGTTAACTTAATACAAAGAATATCAAGTCTCGAATAAACATCACACTGAAGTAAATCAAGCTCCCAAATGCCCCTGGTATGGCCAATGTTAAGGAGAGTACACTCTCCCACTCGAAATGCTCTCACGTGGTCACGCGTATAGAGCCGCTGACAGGGAAGTCCTACTCATTGCCTTCTCGCTGCTGGGGTGTTGTTTACGAGATTAAGAGGACGAAAAATGAATATCCGTAGCTTTCACTAAGTCGGTGGATATGGAGGATCCACCTAGGAGTGTTGGGAAACCCTACTTTCAAAACAATGATGTGCATGGGCTTCAGAATCCCGAAGGAACATATGGCCTATGAATGTGCGTTTGGTCACTGGCTACCATGAGACTGCATCTTCTGACGTTGCTCCACTTTCTTGTGGAATAGACCTTTTGGTCAAAGGCTCAAGGAATGGACCATTAATAAGATCACCTGTTTCTGTTTGTGCAACTAGGTAGTATTCCAGCCCACACACAAATCATTCGATTTGAAATAAGTAAATAAATATTAGGAGTAAATCAATGTTATAGTGAATAAATTACCCTAGATAACCATTATATTAAATTAAAAACGGAAGTAATGTTGAATCAATAGTTACAATGAGTTAAAAATGTAATTTTGCCTCTGTTTTTTTTTATCTCGTCATATCAATGATGTACTCATTCACCTATGAAACAAAATAAACCATGAGGTTTAAATCTTTTTTCCATGAGTTTTAGTTAAAGTTTGAAGTTGGAATCAATAAACTTTGTACAATCACAGTGTCAAGTTCATCTATATCACAACTTCTTGTAGTGATTATTTATAATTAAAATAATAGATTTGTACAGTTTATTTCAATTTAAAAGATCATTTAAATCACTAAGTCAACTTTAGAGACTGATCCAATAACAATAGTATTGTTATCTATGGGCAGAGATGGATGATGGCTAGTACGTTTCTTCTTATCCGGGGCTTGCCAATTATATACATTTGTATGCCAGAATTGATGTTCACTCCGGGACTCGAATCCAGTACCGTTCGCCTCAAACGCCATCGCGTTTTCCACTTAGCTACTGAGTCCTGATAGCCACCTGCTTGTGCAATGTGGTTCGAGTCCAGGAGTGATCATCAACTATGGGATGCAGGTACATCCAGCTGACGAGTCCCGAATAGGACGAAACGCGTGTCAAACTGGATTCCACTGCTAACCACTATCCATCTTTGCTTAAAACGCTTGTGACTTAAGATTATATCGGGGCAATCCACACTTGATGCACATATGCCAACATGAGACTGATCAATTGCAGTTCTAAATAACAATGGGAAGATACAAGTAAAATAACATCAAATGAACTTAGTAGATATAGTTAATAAAAAATAAAAAATAAAAATCTAAAACTGAAAAGTTTCTGGTTACAAAATAGTTTCCCAGAAGTTTGAACAGTCCTTTGTAGAGTAGTACTACACTCAATCTACTTAACAACAATCCCTAATCAACTCTTGATATCATGTCACAATCATATAATGTTATTATCAATATAAACTAAATCAACCTTAGGAAGAGACTCTTAGATAATTTTTTCTGATACTGTTATAATTTGTAACCTATATGCCCTGTTAGTTTAATAACGTAATGATACCGCCAATTAAAGAACAATGAATTATCTATCGCATGAAGGACGCATAAAACCCGTACGAGCAGTCTAGATTACTTATCGGTCCTGCTTCCTGCCTAACCCAGCCACTTAAGTCCAAAACGCAAATCTCAGCCTCTGCGATATGAATCATTTATTTCAAGCATACTGAGTTTATATACCAACCAGGCAGACCACATCGTACCAATAAAATAGGAAACAACATTTGTACAAGATTTAACCAAAATAGGCTGTGAATGTGGGAGGTAGTAAGAATAGTATAATAACAGTTCATAAGTTAAAATAAGGCTTAGAATAAGAGGGACATGAATATGTATAGTTTAGTTGTTTAACAATTATACGGTAAAAATGTACGTTTAGTATTGGTCCATAAATGGATCCCAAAAGTTACCATTCATTATGCTTATAGGGATATAACAGATACTCACTGCGAAGGTATCATATTCTTTTTATGTTTGTTTTTCTCTTCTTTTTTTTTTTGTTTTTAGCCTTTCGATATTCCAAATGCTTTACCTAAACAAGTTGGAAATAAAACAGAATGTGCTTTATTAGGTTTTGTCAAATCTATTGGACGTAGCTATGAAGATATACGTACACAATGGAGTGAAGAACGTTTATATAAAGTGTACACATTTAATTCAATACGTAAATCCATGAGTACAGTTATTAAAGAATCAGATAATCCAATGTCATTTTTATTGTTTACTAAAGGTGCTTCAGAAATGGTTGTTAAATGGTAAGTAGTAAGTAGGTAATAATAATGTATATTATAACTTGAATATCTATTGCATAAGAGTTTATGTTTTTTGCCGACTATTGATACTTAGAACCACATTAGTTTGCTTTATGTTGGTTTATGGACTATTTGAGTAGATGCCTCAATAACTCCCCATAGTTACCACTGTTAACATGTTTCTTTTTTCAATGCTAACTATCAGTGGAATCTGGAATGTACGCTTAATTTTTTTTGGTTTTGGGACGCTACATCAGAATTTACCACTGGTGTGATTTTCACATTAAGATTTGAACCTCAATATCCTTACCAACTGTGAATTTTAGCTGATGAGTCTTAAAGAAATAAACACGCAACCTATTTGTTTTGTTGCTAGTCATTATTGATAATCAATATTACTGTTACTCGAATTGATAAAAAGTTAAAACGTATCTGTTTTTAATGACTAGATTCTTGAAGATCTGGGGTTCGATCTATGATAGATCAATGAATGCTTAGTGCTGACGAGTCCCATACTAGAACGAAATCTATGTCCAGTGCTAAATGGTTTTCACTGAGTGTCTAGCTAACATCAGTATTCTATAGTATAAACTACAATATTTGAAGAAAAAATAATTGACCCACTACATCTGGACAAACGGCTTCAACTCAATAATTCGATGACAGTATGGTATAGGGAGAAGCTTAAAACAACTGCGGCCATTTTCCAGCCAGTTCTTAGTCATTCAGAAAATAGCCTTTGGAATTAGATAGCTTATGGAAAAGAAAACTGTAATATTACAATGCGTTAACAGATTTTACATAAATGATAAATATATTAATATATTCAGGTTACTCTGTGTGTAAAGCTAAAAATAGACAACTTATTAACTCGTTCTTATAGATTGTCCATATCCTTGAATTATGAAAAGGGTCCAAACAGATTTTTAGAAGTCCATATATTATTCCTAGTTAGAGTTAGGAGTTAAGGGTAAGGATTAATGGTTTAGAGTTAAGATGTAGTAAAATAGCCCCATAAACGCTGATTCACCTGTTATGTGTTAGGTCCCGATAAGCATAATGAATGGTAACTTTGGGATCCATTTATGGATCAATACTAAACGTATATTTTTATCGTATAATTGTTATGTAACTAGACTATTCATATTCATGTCCCTCTTACCATGAGCATTATTTTCACCTATGAACTATTATTATACGATTTACCATTCTTGAATTATGCCCTGTCTATTAATTAATACCTCCCATATTCTCAGCCACTTTTGGTTAAATCGTGTACAAATGTTGTTTTCTATTTTACGGTACGTTGGGGTCTGTTTGATTGGTATATAAACCGAGTATGTTTGAAATATAATGCTTCATATTGCGGAGGCTGAGATTTGCTTTCTGGACTTAAGTGGCTGGGCTAGGCGGGAAGCAGGGGCGATAAGTACTCTAGACTGTTCATATGGGTTTACGCGTCATTGATCCGATCTATAATTCACTGCTCCCTAATTGGCGGTCGCATGATATAACAATTAGAAGACATAATCAGGGATTTAATATATTTAACAGTATCATTTTAAACATTTTGAGCAATTTACAAAAGTTTAATTAGTCTTAGTTATTTTATGTGCATCCCGTGCAAATTTCCTCGATATAGCCATCATTTCACAAGTTCATAAACGATAGATAGAATATAGCTAAGTAGATAACTCGTAAAGTATTAAGTCCAAATCTCGCAGTGAATATCAACTCTAGTATGCAAGTGTATCTATTTAGTGAAACCCAAGTTGGATTAAACATACTCCCTAGATTCCAGTGCCAACTATAGTGTATTTATTCCTTCAGTCAATCAGTCAGTTACAATGTAGGACCAGGCACATACATGCATCGGTTCAAGTTGCTACACCTCATTAGCACAGCAAGATTTCACCTTCGGACCTTGGGTTTGTTGCTTTTAGACTTACCGCTCTTCAACCGACCTGTCTGGCATGGTAGAACCTTGAGGAACGATTGTTACAGCCACTATGGCACGGTTGCTTCATTACAATAGGCAAGTCCGACAGCAATGCTGCCTTCCCACAAGGTAGGGTGGGGTTAGAAAAGGTCGATCCTAAAAATACACACCTCGCGTTATCCTACTGATATCCGTCTCCGGTGAGAAGGTCCCAACAAGTACGGAGCTAACACGGAAACCATTCACAAAAAGGTCGTGTGTGACCAGTTTCAAACAGTTTTCCTTCGGGCACTGCGGTTCCGCTCTCAGGTTACTAAGACCACCTCTAATCCAATTTCCTTTTCAGTTACCTCTAGAAGAACCCTTCCACGGTGTGGGCGACCGAGAAGTGATAATCGGCCTCATACCTCTAACAGCAATCAAGACCACTATATAAAAATCCTTCTACTGTTCATCATACTCGATTGACCAAAAGACTAAATGTTAAGTTTTCTATTTCTAATTACTTCATCTTTATCTCATAATTACATATTCCATAATTTCTATTAAGTAAATCTTATTTCACGAGAATAATTCAACTTTTCTGTGAATTTACCAAAATATCAATGAATATAAAGGTCCTTAAAATAGAATGATTTCTTTCTTTTTTTAATGGATAAAATAAACATTTCATCTGTTTAATCACTCATTGGACACAAATGGGCACAACTGTATAAAATCAATGATTTTACATCAATTATTCCTATTTCCATTGCTTTCTTTGTACATTAGCACCTTCTCCGTTTCTACATAACATACACACACCCACACCCACATACATACATACTTACATACCTACATACATACATAGATACATACAGGACCTGAACACAGAGATAGGGAGAGACAGAAAATGCAATAAACTGGTTTGCATTGTATATATCCTTATTACAATTTCATAAATGTCACCCCTTATATCTAACAACTTAACATTCTTATGTAATTATAAATTACCTATTAAAAAAAAGATTAAATCTTTTTCTTTTATGCCTCCAGTCTATTAAAATTGATTATTAAGTAGATAGTGCAATTTAGGTTTTTGTACCTTTACTATGGTAATCTATATATATAAATTTATATTAAAAGGAAATTGACAGGAGACATTTCTGTGTGTTGGTCTTTTCTGTTTTATTCTTGTTCTCTCTTGAAACGATAACTTCTTTGTTTGTTTCTTCATCATCATCATCATCATCATCATCATCATCATCCATTTGCATCATCATTTTAAATTTCCTTTTTATACGATAGAAATGGATTGTTCTTTGATTATTTATAAATAAGTTAATGAATTTTTAGATTATCTTCTATATGTTCCTTTGGTTATCTGGTTTATTTTTACTGTTTACCAGTCTGTTTAAACTGGTAAATAGCCTCCAAATGTCCTGGTACGGTTGAGAATGGAGAGAGTTCGCTCTTTCTCTCGAAATGCTCTCACATAGCCACGCGTATATAGCCTATGCCACGGAAATCCTACTCACTGCCTTCTCATTCCGCTGGTGTTGTTTGAGAAATTGAGAAGACGAAAAGCGAATGTCCGGCGCTTTAACCGGGTTGGTGGATATGTAGAGTTCACCTAGGGAGGTTGGAAAACCCTCATTCCAAACCAATGATGCACATGGGCTCCACTATCCCAAAGGAGCCAATCGCGTATAAACCAATTATTGGTCACTGGCGACCATGAGACTGCATCTCCTTACGATGCTGTACTGTCTTGTGGATCAGACCCTCAAGTCGAAGGTTCCGAGTGTGGCCCCCTAAGAAAACCACCTAGTTCGGTTTGGGCACCCGGGCAGTACCACAGCCCTCACACAAATTAAGTGACTTGTGTGGCGCATATATATCTGGTGCTCCCTTGTACCAATATCTATGTGTTCAAATAAGAAATTAAAAAAAAAATCAAAGTCTGTTGAAACCGAGTAACAATAGTTGGTAAAAAAAAAACTCATTGGATGTCTATCAAGTGGTTGTAATATTTAACCATGCACTACGAGACCTAAAGATCTTGAGTCCGATTCCTGGTGAGACCAGGGGTACCCACTGTTGAAGAGTCCTATATTAAGATGAAACAGTTGTCTGATCCTTCTTGATTTTCAATCGTGCCCTAATGAACATCAAACCTGTAGGGATTACAACCAACGGATTAAAGCAGTCTCCACAAAGCCCCTTCAACTACTGTATTGAGTTTTTATTTGTTCTTAATATAGGGTTTCTCATTAGTGAAGATTAATGCATTCTCCCCTCTCTCTCAACTTTCTTAAAAACACATAGCTGGGATCGTGTCCTGTTTATTAAAATAGAACCAAACGCGCTCTAAATTTTGACGCTAGTCACAGTCCATCTATAGGTATCCACTTGCCCGTAGTTCTTATTTGTTTCTTAATATAATTGAGTTATCTATCTTACTGCCCTTAAAATAATTAACTACTCATGTAACTTATTTTTTTTAAAACCCTTCAATCTGTAAGTTGTTCTTGGATGATGGATGAACAAAATAAACCAAGACCATTCAGTCTACAAGATCAAGAACGTTTAACTGAAGCAGTGATTGAACCAATGGCAGGTGAAGGTCTTCGAACCATTGGCATAGCTTATAAAAAAATTACAATAGGTAAGTACTCTCATACCTCTTATGTGTGTGTGTGTGTTCCGATCTTTGGACACTTATATTGTCTTTGTTCGTTAGCTTTTGAGGGAAGAAAATCTGAAAGAATGTCGAAATTAGAAAGTTTTAAGAAGAAAAAATCAGCTCATATTTTAAGAACGTCATCATATCTGTTATAATTTGGATTTTACCAAATTGATTTGCATATTTCCATTGACAACATAATAAATTATGTAATAGAATTATTCCAATCATTTAACAGAGATCTGAAATGAAAATTATTTGCCTCATTGAATCACTACCTAAAATGTATAATTTAACTACTTCCTATGAGTTTTTAGTTTTATCAGCTGATGTGTTTACTACAATCAATCGGTTGTAAGCAACATAGATTCTGGGATATACTCATCGGTTCAACTTGTCACATTACAAATTATCACACTAAGGCGAGATTATTACGACAAATACTGAAGTAATGAAAGTAGCGATAGTATTAGTAGCAGTAAGAAAGATTGTGGTGTATGCTACTTATGTTGGCAGATATAAGTAGTATATCACACCAATCAGAAGTGGATTGCCGGCGAGCGGAATATTGAGAAGAGATGTGGAAAAACTGAAAGCAATCAAAACATTAACAGGAATAAAGAACCTGCATGATTGTGATCAATTCTAAGACATGTCACTCCATGCCTCCATACATTGACTACGATAATTACGCGGACACCCCCAAATGCTCCCGGTATGGTGAAGGGTGGGGAGAGTCCGCTCTTCTTCTCGAAATGCTCTCACGTGGCCACGCGTATACAGCCACTAACAGGGAAGTCCTACTCATTGCCTTCTCGCAGCTGGGGTGTTGTTTACGAAATTGAGAGGACTAAAAGTGAATATCCGGAGCTTTAACGAAGGCGGTGGATATGGAGGATCTACCTACGGAAAACCCTCATTCCAAATTAGTGATGCACATGGGCTCCAGGATCCCGAAGGAACATATAGCATATGAACGTGTGCTTGGTCACCGGCGACCATGAGATTGCATCTTCTGACGTTGCTGCACTACTTTGTGGATTAGACCTTTAGATGAAAGACTCGAGTAGTGGCATCCTGCTTCGGTTTGAGCTTCCAGGTATTATTCTAGCCCTTACACAAGTCGAATGATTTATGTAGCTCATATATATTTGGTGCCTCTTTGTACCATTGTTTATTTGCTTAAATAAGTAAATAACCAAGTAATCTTCGTCTGCCTACATGGCTTTTAATTGTTTTCTTTCCTCGTTCATTGTTATATATTTCTTGTCAGCATTGACTTTTGTTTAATTATATTTTTCATCTTTATTGAATGCAGCTACAAATTCAAAAAGTCCGAATGATATGATTGTACAAAGTGAACCGAATTGGGACGATGAAGAACATTTATTAGAAGGTCTTACTTTATTAGGTATTATTGGAATTGAAGATCCAGTTCGACCAGAAGTACCAGCTGCTATACGTCAATGTCAAAAAGCCGGTATCACTGTACGTATGGTAACTGGTGATAATGTAAATACAGCACGATCAATTGCAATGAAATGTGGTATTATACAACCAGGTGAAAATTTTCTTGTTATTGAAGGTAAAGAATTTAATCGACGTATTCGTGACAAAGCAACTGGTAAAGTTAGACAAGATTTATTTGATCAAGTATGGATTAATTTAAGAGTATTGGCTAGATCTTCACCTCAGGTAAGTTTTTTTTCTTTCATGTATGTGTTACATAGAAAGTTGTTGATTTATGGCTATGAAACACATCCCTTTAAAGTAGAAGATATTCGTAGGTTACTAGTATTCGGTCAAAGGGATATCCGAAGTATTACTCGTATATTTTGGAACCATCGAGTTAGAAATTCTGAGGTTAGCCGCAGATTACTAGATATGTATGGTTAATCGATCGACGAGTTGGTGAATACCTAATAACTGAGATTATTAAGACATGTATTATATTTGCTTATCCACCTACTACCTTGCCATACAATCATGACTGTCACAGAGTTGGTTGGCAAAAAACCATGGCATCAGTCTATGAAGGCATTAACTATTGGACTGAGTCATGTAGTTAGGTGTAGATTACTTGTTCGTGGTTCTGATGATTAACATAACCAATAGTTCGAGACCTTAATTGATATTTTTCAAAATCATTCACAATAGCTCATATGCATTCACTCTTTGTCTTCACAACTATCTGAATTCTTTATTAATGATTTTCGTTTTATTTTACTAATCCATATTTCCTCCTTGAATTGTATCTTCAATGATTAATCATTTTTAGTAATACGAATACTCTTATTAACTCTACTATTCTGAGATTTCCCCTAACAATTTTATATTATTGTATTAATGTGGTATGGCAACTTAAACTTATGTACATACGTTCCAGGTTTTACATCGCGTTCAACTGACTGACAAACGAATGAAGTGAATGTTGTCTTTTGATGTCACGTTATATAATGGCTGATAATGTTGCTCAGGGTGTTAATAAAATATTAGTAACTATGATTAACTTATCATAGAGAGAATACAGTATCATTATAATTGACGTCTTACTGATAGAAATAAATTATTTCAATTGTTCAGTTATAATAATATCTTAAATATTTTTTGATTGAGATCATGAACCGATTAATGTTAGACCATCATTGAAAACCTGGAAGCACTGGATGGCCGTTTCGTCTTATTGTGGAACTCCTCGGCAGTGCGCATCCACAATCCCACTCATGGGGTTCGAACCCAGGGCCTTCAGTCTCACGCGTGAACGCTTAATCTACTGGACCACTAAGCCGGCATCCAACGGTGTTAATGTCTAACTTCAACCAATCCACGAAGTTGCGCCACCGTACACCATTGTCTTCAGTGAGTTCCTATCTCACAACAGACCTGGTTGAACTCCACTGGTAACGGCTTCTCACTAGAACTTCGGGAGTTTTTCCTGAAGTCAGTCCCTAGTGAGCAGAAGATTATTATCAGAAGGGATTTTGTGGAGATTTTAGTAATTTCACAGGTTGAAATCATGAGTCAGTTGAAGCTAGACCACCATTGAAAACCTGGAAGCACTGGACGGCCGTTTCGTCCTAGTATGGGACTCCTCAGCAGTGCGCATCCACGATCCCGCACCACGCGGGGCTCGAACCCAGGACCTACTGGCTTCGCGCGCGAGCACTTAACCACTAGACCACTGAGCCGGCATCCAACGGTGTTAATGGTGGTCTAGCTTCAACTGACTCATGATTTCAATCTGTGAAATTTCTAAAATCTCCACAAAACCCATTCTGATAATACTTTTTTTCACGAATGTAATATGTTGGTAGTAGCGATAAGATTTCAATCCTGATATGTTTGTTATCGGTTGATACAACTAACACAGCTGTTTCTCTGTGTGTGTGTGTGTTTGTGTTTATCTCTATGTCCCAACAAGTATTCATAAATCAGTTAATCATATTTCAGTATGACAGTTTGTTATTTATTGAATTCATTACAAAAATATGGTAATATTTCTGTCCCTTAAAGACAAAACTGTATCACTGATAGGTTCTGTTAAGTTTGATTCTTATAGAAATGTGAAAATATAAGATAAAACATGAAGGACTTACTTATTTACCTTAAGTTGTGTATTCATTCACAAGAAGAACATAGATAACTATACATCTCCAATGTATGTATGTGTGTGTGTTGTATCTGTATTATCTCTAGCTGCCTGTCAACAAAATACAAGTTGTACATGTTGATTAAGCTAAAAATGGGTCTAAATATGGTTCCTAGTAATGAAACAAAGTTTATTCAACGTTAGCAAAATAATAAACACATTAGTAACTAATATCCTCATCGTCATCAATATTCTTAAAGACAGACATTATATTACCACTTAATGAATTGAACAGTTGGAAAAATGTAACACAAAAGGAATTCTATGCAGTTTATGTGTAAATTAAAAAATTCAGTTGATCTGACTAAACTAACTATTCTAATCTAATTTGTAATGGTGTTTTTTGTTGTTGTTTGGATTATCATCCCTTTATTGATATTTTGACTTAATTTTGAATATTATCAGAAGGGGTTAGACATTAACACCGTTGTATGCCGGCTCAGTGGTCTAATGGTTAAGTGCTTGCGCGTGAAACCTACTGGTCCTGGGTTCGAATCCCGCGGGGTGCGGGATCGTGGATGCGCACTGCTAAGGAGTCCCATACTAGGACGAAACGGCCGTCCAGGGCTTCCAGGTTTTCCATGGTGGTCTAGCTTCAACTGACTCATGATTACAATCTGTGAAAAAATTGATTTTGATTAGTCCTAATTAGCGTGTGTACATCTTGTGCAGATTGTTTTGTCACAAGTTCATATAGAACAAATGTTACTATCTGAATTCAGTAGCTAAGTAAACAATTCATTAAATGTTTGAAACGGAAGGTACTAGGTTTGAATCCCAGAGTGAATATCAACTCTAGAATACAGATACATCGAGTTGACATGTCTTAAATAGGATAAGTCGCGTGTCCTGGACTCCAATGCTAACCACAATCTATCTATTCTATATTAAATAATTATTCACTATTTTTATTGTGGAAATTAATGGTGATCCTTTCGCTTTCTCATTCACTTCCACATATACATCTGTGTCTTCCTCTTCTTTTTCTTTTTCTTCTTCTTCTTCTTCCTCTTCTTCTTCTTCGGTTATCTGCCTATTTATCCGTTTGTTTACCATTGACAGAACTTGTCACTTAAAATTATTGATTATTAGGTCAATCATAACTACACGAGTATGTGTTTGTAATGCACGAGGACACGATAATAAATATGGCCTCGTAGCAAACATCTAACCATTAGGAACACTGAGTCAAGGTTTAATGATACAACATTTATTTCAATCAATTCTCAACATAACTGAATGATTATCCAATAACTGAAATCCATCTGTAATGAATACAACTTACAAATTAAACCAATATTTTTCGATTGAGATCATGAACTGATTGATGTTAAACCACCATTGAAACCTGGAAGCACTGGACGGCCGTTTCATCCTATTGTGGGACTTCTCAGCAATGCGCATCCACAGTCGGAGTTCTAGTGAGAAGCCGTGACCAATGGAGCTAATCCGTGTCGGGTAGAGACAGGTATCGACCTCAGTAAAATGGAAGATGGTCACGGAATTTCGTGGATTGGTTGAGGTTAGACATTAACACCGTTGGATGCCGACTCAATGGTCTAGAGGTTAAGCGTTTGCGCGCGAGACTGATTGGTCCTGGGTTCGAATCTCGTGAGTGGGATCGTGGATGCGCACTCCTGAATAGTCCCACAATAAGACGAAACGGCCATCCAGTGCTTCCAGGTTTTCCATGATGATCTAATTTCAATTGACTGATGATCTCAACTATTAAAATTACTGTAATTCAATTATTTAAGCAAAATGTAAAACGTGAAACATATTTCAGTCAATTACTGCTAACATGATAATTTCATCTCCATATTGTGTATTTATGTGTTAAATATGAGGATTACCTATCCACACATATAAACACATCTATGTATTACATACTTATTATCATCATCATCATAAGTTTACTTATCATTACGATCCGTTCTAAAAATTGGATCAAAATTCTTTTTTCTCATTAACATCAACTCAACGAACTAATATTTACACTGTAATACAACATTGTATTATTTACACAGTTAGAGTATTATACAACAGTTGAATAGACTAATATACAATGTGTACTACTACTACTTACCGTTATTATTATAACTGTTACCAATACTACTACTAACCGTTGTGATTAGTGATAATCATGATCAGTAAGTAAATGTAGCTGAATAATAAAAATGGATACAATGAATAACATTAGTCTAATTTTAAGACATAAGAATTTCGATTTCGAAAAGAAGTACTCAACTCATTATTTCAATCATTCATTTACATTCTACTGAAATCAGTAGTATCGTGTATGTGTGTATATAGATGGGTTTACATTTGTACATATATATGTATTAGTGTGATTGTTGTATAAAATAAACATTTAATTGGTAACTAAAATTAACAGGGTGGATAAAAATGTACACTGGTATTTTTAACTTTGTTCTTGTTAAGTGTACACACTTTATTTAGAATATAAATTTTCAATATGAATGAATTGTATTCATTCTATTCATCAATAACATTGAATCAATATGGATACATCAGTTGAAGTTACCAGTTGTCAAGGCGAATTCCAGAATAGTAGAATTAATAAGAGTATTCGTGTTAATCGAAATGATTAATCATTGAAGATACAATTCAAGGAGGAAATATGGATTAGTAAAATAAAACGAAAATCATTAATAAAGAATTCAGATAATTGTGAAGACAAAGAGTGAATGCATATGAGCTATTGTGAATGATTTTGAAAAATATCACATGAGACTGATCAATTGCAGTCTTAAATAACAATAGGGAAGATACAAGTAAAACAACACCCAAGTGAATTTAAACTTCACCCTATTGCACAAGCAGTTGGCTATTAGGACTCAGTAGTTAAGTGGATAACGCGATGGCGTTTGAAGCGAACGGTACTGAGTTCGAGGCCCGGAGTAAACATTAACCCTGGGATGCAGGTACCTCCAGCTGACGAGTTCCGAATAGAACGAAACGCGTGTCAAATTGGATTCCACTGCTAGCCACTATCCATCTTTGCTTAAAACGCTTGTGACTTAAAACTATATCGAGGCAATCCACACATGATGCACATATGTCAACATGAGACTGATCAATTGCAGTTCTAAATGACAAAGGGGGAGATACAAGTAAAAGAGCACCAAGTGGATCTAATATCACTTAAAGTTTCCAACCGCTTGGTTATGCTAATAATGTTAACCAAAAACAAGTAATCTACATCTACCTACATGATTCAGTCCAATGGTTAATGTCATCATTGAACTGAGAAAAAAAGTAGACAATAAAACATTCATTACGAATTCATTTCAGTGATGTATTATTTCTAGTTAACCAAAACTGGAATATAGTTGACTTCTTTGATTAGTAGTTGCTACTGCTATATAACGGCAACACACCAATTATAATATCTTCCATATTATAATTGCAAGAAGACAGAATAAAATGTCAGATCCTATTTCCAGAAATATTTGAAATTTCAGTATCATAACTCTGTATAGTATTCAGATTATGACTTAGTGATATATATATATATATATATATATAACAGAAATAATAAAATAAAAGCCAACATAACGAATCAATTAGATCATAGTATGAATCAATGGAATAATATGAATCGAAATAAATTTCTAAGGACTTCCGTCTTCGTTATAACGATAAAAGTCAAAACTGGATAATTTAAGATCATCCTAACAAATTCAAAAATGTGTTTCTCATTAGTTTTACTTAATGATTTCCGAAGAACTTGAGGCTGCGAGGGAATAAGGCTCTCAACAGTGCAATAGCTCGGCATTTAGTTGACACCGAACATACCGTCAATGTTTTGCACGCTTTTAAAATTATCAATAGACAAAGAAATACAATTACTCTCCACTTTGCTTAAGCGATTACGATCAAAAAACTTAAACCTGACTTATGCATTCAAAAAGAGACTTTAATTAACTTATCACTACCCTGGTAACTTTTTTATTTTATTCTTTTTTTAAAAAATTATTTTAAAATATTTATTTTGTGTTATACTCCTCCCCTATTACATAATTCTTAAACCACATTATTATTCACACATTTCCACCACCCGATCCTCTTAAATTATCTTAACTTTTCAAACCCTATTTAATTATTATTACGTAATCTACCTTATCATTGTTTAATACCATTAATCTCTACAACTATCACACAATTTATGAACTTCACTAAATTATTACACCACCCACCCTGGATTAACCCCCCTCTTTTGACCTCTGACCTGTTTCTAGCATATATATATATATATATATATATATAGTTATTATTGTAATCAAGTTATTTACACTCATTTATGTCAATTGTTTCACACTATCTCCATGTAAAAACTCTATCACGATTTTGGTTTGTAAGCAGCTGACGAGAAACCTCGAAATAATATGAATTCATACTATTCTGCACCAATATTTGTCCTTGCTTTATTTAAATTCTTAAAGGGAACCAATAGCATGAAATTAATGATTTCTATCTGAACCCAGTCAACATATAACAACATTATTCCATCAACTGTAAATAAACGTAAAATATCGTACATAGATAAAGATTCATCATTGATCTAAGATGTTACCCTGCATGTATTTCAGAAAAGGTTGAACAGTTATGTCAGTAATGTTACTTGTAGGGCATAACTGACCAATCACTATTGATCAGTTTTTGAATTATTATTACCTAATATCTTCAACAATTAAATATTACAATTGTCTCTCACAAGATGTTTGCTCCTTTAAATACAACTTGTTCTAATATCCAATGACATTATTAGCCGTTACTGTGCCTTAATTTTGCCATCCTCCTTAACAGCTGTTGTAAAAAATAAATCCCATGTTAGCTGAAATGGTACTGCGAACCTGTTTGTGATTAGGCATCACTTAGACATGCCTCAACCACACCGTCAATGTGAGACTTATTCGTGTGTATATGTTGATGGGTTTGAAAAATGTGATATTTGTGATATGTAAGAGTAGCATTAAAAATATTTTATTGAAATCCCGAACCGACTTAAGTTGGACTACTGTTGAAAACCGTCAAGCATTGAATAACTGTTTCATCCTAGCATGAGATTCCTCGTCAGTGCGCGCCTGCAATCCCGCAAGTGAGGAAAGAACTAACGACTGTCAGTCTTGTGCGTGAACGCTTAACTGAGCTGGGATCCAACTGTGTTAATGTCTAACTTCAGTCAGTTCGCGACCATCTCCCATTGTCTTTGGTGGGTAGCTCCCCCACACCTGATATAGTTTAGCTCGGCTGACCATTTGCATGTCTGTTAGTGATATGAGGTACGAATAAGACTAAATCTGTGGATATTTTGATAAATGGTCCATTTTGGATCGACATTCATGTCTTCCTTTCTGCTAAGTTCAATGAGATTTATAAATATGTGAACAGCTGCAACCATTTACCTTTCTTTATGATTGGAAAAACATTTTTGAATTATTCTGATATTATTACTACTTAAGCTTACTTTTTATGCATCCACTATTGACGTTTGTTCACTCGTTGAATTAATATTGTTTTATTATTATGATGATGATTATCAGTAACTATGACTTCACCACCTGCCCCCTTTCATCATGATTAGTCACTCAAGATACAAACCAAACCTAAAGATTACTATATATTTTGCGTTATTCCTTTTCATTCTGTGCTTTTCTGTTTCGTTTTGAGCATTAAAATCAGTTTTAAAGTTTGTGAGGAGACCTTGGTTCGTAATCATACTACTATTCGTAATGATAAACCGGTGTACACTTGATTGATAAGATGTTTTCAAATAAGGCTGATATGGAACGATTGAACGTAATTAACATGAGATCATCCTTCACCTATGTTTTTTGCTAGTCGGCACTCATCAGCAAAGTATATCTGTAATTTCTGAGGAACTGACACCCAGTGTGAAACTTGAACTTGTGTAACTTCTCAGTCTGAAACGTTATGAATGGAGCTAGTCGAGCCATAGATCAAACCAATCATGATAGATTTATCTAGATCCTACTAACCATTCGGTTGTTCATACTTTGTTTAACATTAAGTTATTGTATTCAAACGAAGTTATCTGTTATGAATACATTTGATTTTGTTTCTAATCACTTGTTTGTTAATAAAAGAGATTTAAATTTCACATAAATATATATATTTGTTTCTTTAATAGGATAAATACACATTAGTCAGTGGGATAATTAACAGTCGTGCAGCACCGTCACGTCAAGTAGTCGCTGTCACTGGTGATGGTACAAATGATGGTCCAGCGTTGAAACGTGCAGATGTTGGTTTTGCAATGGGTATAGCTGGTACAGATGTAGCAAAAGAAGCATCCGATATTATATTGACAGATGATAATTTTTCAAGTATTGTTAAAGCTGTTATGTGGGGTCGTAATGTATATGATTCAATTACAAAGTTTTTACAATTTCAATTAACTGTAAATTGTGTTGCAATTATTGTTGCATTCGCTGGAGCATGCTTTTTAGATGTAAGTTAAAGTTATGTCAGGAAATTTGACACAGGACATCTTGTCTTGCACATAAATTTTTAAACTACAAATCACTAGTTTAGCATTTAATCCTATACGTATTTAACATGAATCAATTCACAATTTTTCATGACCTTCCATTGTCTGCGATGGATAACCGTCTCATATCCGACACGGTTGAATTCCACTGGTCATGAATTCTCACCAGAACTCCAAGAATTGGATCTTGAGGCAGAGTTGTGGATGAACACTGCTAAATAGTCTCATCCTGGAAAGAAATAGCTATTCAATACCTCTTGGTTTCTACTAATATTCAATCTAAGATCAGTTTGTGATTTGAATTACGAAAATTCTACAATCTTCACGAAACCTCCTACAAATTATACTAAGATTATAGTTGGACATTTAATGTTAGTACTACTTATTCAGGGAAGTCCTACTCACTACCTTCTCGTGGCGGGGGTGCTGTTTACGAAATTGAGAGGACGAAAAGCGAATGTCCAGTGCTTTAACCGGGTTTTCGGACATGGAGAGTCCTCCTACGGGAGTTGGAAAACCCTAATTCCAAACCAATGGTGCACATGAGATTTGTGTGGCGCATATGTATTTAGTGCCTCCTTGTACCAATATCTATGTGTTAAAATAAAAGTAAATAAATAGCCATTTCAAAATGATCATGTTTCATAGACAAGAAATATAAACAATCTATTTTCTTCCATTTAATATCAGTCTAATTCATCGTTTATATAGCTTAAGTAAATAATGTAAAGTATAAAAATAAATCAATTATTCACTTGGTATTGTTTGGCTTGTATCTTCCCATTGAGTTTTAAGACTGCTGACGAGTCCCAAATAGGACGAAACACGCGTCCTGGATTCCACTGCTAGCCACTATTCATCATTGCTTGTAAATCAATTATGTTGTAATATTGCAGAATCTAATTTTTTCTTTTAGATTCTGTCTTGTTACTTTAATGAAACATTTGATTTTCTTCTTCATATGTTGTAAACACACTTCAAAGAATTACTACTAGGTGATAATGTATTGACTGGATTGTTTTTTTTTACTATTTCCCGGTTTTACATTTAATTCCTATTTCATTGATTGATTTAAAGTCAATTAATGGAATGACTTCAATTAAGCTGAATAGTTCTGTCATATTGTACATATGTATTGGAAATCTTATTGTTAATCCTATATTTATTTATTCATTTTAACACATAGATATTGGTACAAGGAGGCACCAAATACATATGCATTACACAAATCTCATTTGATATGTGTGAGGGCTGTGATACTGTCCGGGTGACCAAACTGAAGTAGGTGGTTTTCTTAGGGGGCCTTCGACCTGAAGGTCTGATCCACAAGGTAGTGGAACAACGTAAGGAAATGCAGTCTTATGGTAGCCGGTGACCAATAATTGGTTCTTACGCCATTTGTTCCCTCAGGACACTGGAGCCCATGTGCACCATCAGTTTGGGATCCGGTTAAAGCGCCGGACGTTCTCTTTTCGTCCTCTCAATTTCGTAAACAATACTGTCGCCACGAGAAGAGTATATTAGTTGTTTTAAATAGAATAATTTAATCTTGTGTAGTTCTAGGATTTATTGAGGTTCTGCTATTGCACATACCATATAACGTATTCATGTAACGTGATGATAACTAATGACAGTTTCAGTCAACTTTTTTGTTTATCCAGTTACAAATTTGTTTCGTTTATAGAAATATTCATCAATAATTCCAATGTTTCGTACAGCGAATTTGTCTTGACGAAATGTTTTATTTACTTACTTACGCCTGTTACTCCTAATGGAGCATAGGTCGCAGACCAGCATTCTCCAACCCACTCTGTCCTGGGCCTTCTTTTCTAGTTCCATTCAATTCTTGTTTATTGTTCTCATGTCTGTCTCCATTTCCCGGCGTAATGTATTCTTCGGTCTTCCTCTTTTCTTTTGGCCTTGTGTATTCTATGTGGGGGCTTGTCTTGTGATGCAGTTGTGTGCTTTCCTCAATGCGTGTCCTATCCACTTCCAACGCTTCATCCTGATTTCTTCTTCCGCTGTGATCTGGTTTGTTCTCTCCCACAGTAGAATAATTAAATTCAATGATGTGTGGTGTGTACTAATGTGGTATATGCTACTTATGTTTGTCGACATAAGTAGTATGTCACACCAGCCGGAAGTAAAAAAAACCTAGAAGCAGAAGGTTAAGAAGATCGAATTAAAGAGAATAGAAGGGAAAATAGATTATAATTGTTAACTGTAAGAACCATACAGAATGTAAGATACAAATGATGGGAATTTACAAATGAAGTATTCGTGCAATTAGTTCCTTCTATGAATTTAAATAAAGCCAGAACAAATATTGATGCTTCTGATAAATTCATAGTCTCATCGCTCTTTACAAATATCCCCTTGGAAGAAACGGCAGAGATCATATGTGAATATCCTGAACTTCTGCCTTCACCAATCCATGAATTTAAACAGCTCCTGTTTTTGTGTATAAAAAAAAACAATTTAAACTCAAAAATGTGTTGTACCGTCGAATTGTTGGAGTAGCCCTTTAGGCCCAATTCTGGCCGACATATTTCTGGGAAACCTGGAACAGAAAAAGCTTAAGCACATAATCGATGGTACCACACTCTATTGTAGATACATTGATGACACATTTCTTGTCTGCACCAATCGCAAGCACTCCATGAAACCTACTCAGTCTGTTTAACAAAACACATAAAGATATAAAATTTATTATGGAAATATGAAGTTGAAGGTAAATTCCATTTCCTAGATATTGGAATCAGACGAACATCAATTGGCTTTCTGCATCAATATTTGTTCTGGCTTTATTGAAATGAAGTATTCAGTGTATGATTCTTATATTTTAATAACGGATTCTGTAATTTTGTATTTAAATACAATCGATTATCTCTACCAGTGTTCTCGTTCACTACACCATTACTGAATAAATTTAGAATCGGAAAAATTCATGCTCTAGAACGATCGATAAAATTAATGTCTGTACAACAATTCGAATTTATTAGTTTACGCTAGATGATCAGATTCAAGCTGAATGGAACTTTGGTGATGCGACATTTTCTTTTCTGAGAAATTACTTTGAGAAGATAGATTCTGATAGAGAAGATTTATATTTTGGATCGATGACTGAAATGACTTCAAAGCTGTTTGATATTTTTCTACTTGTTGGATGCATCGAACTTATTTCAATATTTTTAACAGACTACTGGGCGATCTTAATCCTAAGCCTCTAGAAAACATCCGATATTCTTTGTTTTGTCTCCATCCAAGATTTCAACGTTTACTCAGAAGGTTTTGCGCTGGCCACTGTCTAATTGCATTGAAATAGGCGAGAGTATCTAGTGACGTTCAGAAATCCCTTTGATATTCATACACATGAAGATGAAGAGTGCAACCACTTAGGGTTAGCGTAGAGTATAGGGCCGAACCAATTGAGGTGAGACTCTAATTTATGGACAACATTTGAGCGACTCCAAAGTGACCTTGAAGGTGTCCACCTACTAACTAGGATTAAATGTGAGCTATAAAGCAATGTGAAGAATTAGAATTATGATTTACAGTTGATGGTTAGGGTTAGGAATTAGATTTGTGGTTTTCATCACAAACTGTCATCAACTATAATGCCGAAACAATATTCGATCAAATGGATGAATGGTTTTCGCCCCAAGACCTGTTATCTTAAATCTGGTTGGTCTCGCCACACTTCTTTCCTCAATTGTTCCGTTGTTTTGTTTAATTCTATTTTTTCAATCTATTATACTGATTCGTTTATTGTATATTTTTTGTTCTTATTCCCCTACCCTATTTCCCCTCCCTCTTCCAATAAAATACTTGTAATCATTTGTAGGATAGTCCATTGAAAGCTATACAGATGTTATGGGTCAATTTAATTATGGATACATTGGCTAGTTTAGCATTGGCTACAGAACAACCATCAGTGGAATTATTAGATCGTGCACCATATGGACGTACTCAACCATTGATCAGTAGACAAATGGCTAAAAATATCTTAGGTCATTCTTTATATCAATTGGGTGTTATATTTTTCTTATTATTTTATGGTAAGTCAATTTGATTGGTTGAAAATAAATACATATTATGTCCTTGAATCATGTGATACTATTGGTTGATAAAACTTGAAAGTCTGGTCTATTATTGATATACCGACGTGATCAGCTGATTTTTTTTTGTTGTCAACCCACGTTGACACTCCTAACTAGGCTAAGAAATAATATTAAACGAGTTTGGACACATGTTTTTATATATCCCGATGGAAATTCTTAAATTCACTTTAGTATTTGTAAGTTTATATCTTGTTGATATCAAAGGCCTTCAGCATATGTACTTCCTGAGCTAATTACCTTCAATTGTTTATATTTTCTTTTAAATAACTATTCATAGTAGTGCATAGTTACATGTTTAACAATTAGACGCTTTATAACTGAAACTTATACATCATCATCATATTGTCAAATGTGTTAAGTGGTGAACCTGGAAGCACTAGATGACCGTTTTTTCCTAGTGTAGAACTACTCATTATTGCGCATCTACGACCTTATAGGCGAGAGTCGAACTCAAAACCTTCGATCTCGTGCGCGAACGCTTAATGAAACAGCCATTCAGCGCTTTCATGTCTTTATTGGTGATCTAACTTAGATCAGTTGATGATTTCAATGAACTTCAGATTCAACAGCCTTCTCAGTTTTAACAAGTTTTTCTAATCTCGAATTATAAAAAATTTATTTGAAGGATAACAGTTGTATCCTCTTTTGTTAAAGCTATGACCAAACTAAAACATATCATTAGTTCGTGAAATCATTAACTGTTAGTTTGAGACATATTGGCTGATGTAAATTAACTTGCTTGCAGTCCTCGCAACTGTCATAAACAATTTTCAGAGTTGTTAGGTGACACTGCTAAAAATCGATCATAATCACGCAAACATCTTCTTTTAAATATTAAACTTTAAAATTATTTTGTACTTCTTATTCTATTAACTCATTATGTCTTCTCGAATCTTATTATCTACGTCAAATATCTCCTACTTCTACTGCTAACTACTACCTACCTACCTACCTAACAATAGTAATAATCTGGCATTTATCTTGATATGGTGATTTGTAGTATGATAAACTTGAACCGATACACATATACATCAGATTCTACGTTACTTTTTAAGTGATCAATTCTTTCTCAATAAATAAAGTTATATCTTATTCTAATCATTTCTCCATCCAATTTTTGTTATTCTCTCTCTCTTTCTCTCTCCCTTTTCCTTTAGTTCAATTAATAATGGAAGTCGATAATGTATCGGGGATAACAGTACATGAACCAACACAACATTATACCATAATATTTAATACTTTAGTATTAATGACATTATTTAATGAATTTAATGCAAGAAAAATTCATGGACAACGTAATGTATTTAGTGGTTTACATAGAAATCCATTATTTATCATAATTTGGTTTGTAACATTTTTATTACAAGCATTAATTATACAATTTGGTTCATATGCATTCAGTACAAAAGCATTAGAATTAGATCAATGGGCTTGGTGTTTATTCTTTGGTGTTGGTGAACTTGTCTGGGGTCAGGTATGTGTTTAGTTTAATCAACAATACTAATAAAGGCCATTATTATTATTGTCATGAATGGTGGTGATGTAATTACTTTTTTGTCAGTTCGCTGTTACTTGTTGCCTGCCGAAAATCTCTTCCTCAGTCAGTCAGTCAGTCAGTAACAATGTAGAACTTCGTGTGTACGTATACCAGTTCGAGTTGCCATACCACATTAGCACAGAGATGCAATTGTCGATTCAAATCCCATAATGGTAGAGGTAGAAAGAGTATAAGCAGTAACCGGAAAGATTAGGGCTTGGAGATGTCATTCAAGGAGTATAATCCAGTCAAATAAACTTGGACAGAGAAAAAAAGAGACAAGAATAATTTAAAATATTGGAATTTGGGAGAACACAAAGAGTGGATGCACCTGAGCCATTGCAAACGATTTTGAGCCATGTCATTCAGGGTCTCTAACCATCGGTTGCTATCATCTCGTGGACCCCAACCAGGTAGTCTACACCTACCAACATGGCTCAGTTCATGTTTATTCGCTAGTTGACACTCACCATCATGAAGAAGTGAAGAACTAATCCTTCATCCTGTGTGATCCGAACTAGAATCAATGTCACTTAGCTTAAGGGCTTGAGGTACTACCAATCAACTATCTGTTCCCTCGATTGACCTGCTGCAGGACTGAAATAGTCACGTAATAGTGATCAGTGACATGTTTATTTAGTCCTTAATGGTTGATCCAATATCCTATTGATCAAGTTCTTGTTGGCGAAAAGGTTACGTTGTAAACTATATCATTATCAGCCTCAACCATTGAAAACTTGGAGGAATAAATAAGAAATATATTTAACAAACTACTCTAAGTTCATAACGTAAGAATAGAAGAGCTTAAAGTTTTAGAAATTGTGAGAATGTGAACATATTTCCAACTGATGAGTATAGACATCAATCTAAGGCTGATAATCCATCTATGAATGATAATGTATAACAATTGAAATGTATTCAATCAAAACACTTGATAACCACATTTAGGATCTGAAACAAACTTGTCAAAACACAAAAAAATATTAAGAAAAAATCAATAACAAATGAAATGGAATAGGTTTTTTCTCCCTTAGTTTTATGACAAATCAAAATGAAATAGATCAACTATCCCTTTGCAAACAATTCTTCCAATCCCTGGAACCCTCAAATATAATCTTTTTGATGTTGTAGTCTGTTTTTATTACAAGTTGTTATTAATCGTAACTCACATACAGAGAGAGACACAGAGGAAGAATCTTCGTCATTACTACAAAACTACACTCAACTGTAATATCTAATAGTTAATGAAAATGAATGATTATGTGTACACAATCATCATCATGTTGTAATAGTAGCCTTATTATTACTTACTAACACAGTATTTTTATCCTTAAAGCTCTTCCTATAAGACATATTGGAGAGATCCAGAAAATCCCTCGAAAAAAGCCCAAGAGAGCCTTGAAAATGCTAGAGAATATTTTATCCAATCAGCACTCAACAGAAGTTTCTCGGACACATGTAGAAAGTGAAGAATTACGTGTCACATTTCTAATTGGATGATTACCTATACGGCTACTATGTTTAGTGTAGGGTCCCAGAACTTTTCAGAAACTTAATCCCATCTGAAATGTTATAAATACCCTAAATTTTCTGTACATAAACGAAACCTTGGAGTAAAGCATTCTTTTCATATTTAGCACCTTTTCTCGTGCTCAAGTTGTCGTGTAGATCTAGCCTGGAGTTATTACACTAGCTTAGGAAACCGATTAAAGCTTTCTGTCAGAAGGTTTATCAACCTACTAATTCCTAAAAAGAAAAGGGGGTGCATGTACTGTTGAATTTTTAAAACATTCACTCTTTCACCGAAAACATAGTAGCCAGAGCACTCAGCTGTAAACCACTGTAATGTAGACTCGAATCTTATTCTAACGTATTCCAATCTTCTTTTACATCAAAACACGAATCGAAATTCATTACACGAACCTAAGAACATAGGACTTTGAATTTGTGGTTTGTATAACTTATTTTGCCTTATTTTTTACTATTGCTTACATTTTGTCTTATACACATGCATAATTCTTTAATCCGATGGGGTTGGGATATTATGGATTAATCATGTGTTGTAATAGTATCAGTCAAGCTTTGCTTGACACTCTTATTCATGTATCATATACAGAAAACTACTATATCGAAATTAATTTGTATAGTTACAATCTAAATTCAGTATCATGTTAATGAGGTATGGCAACTTGGACCGATACATATATGTGCCTGGTCCTATGTTATAGCTGACTGACTGACTGAAATTCAATGTCAAAAATGATTACATAAAATCGATTATTATCAATAGTGGGAGCCCTAATGAAATCCAATAAATGTCTAGTATTCTCTATTTACATCTTGATGCACTTCAAGGCCAATTATTGTTTTCTTAAGGTATTGATAATGGCAGTGGTGTAATGATAAGACCATGGTTTTATAGCTGTTTTTGTCTTAGTTGATTATTGCTCAAAATATTGAATAGGTCAATTTTTCCGCCTTATCCCCTATCTGTTATCTACCATTTACATAATATCATAGGTTGTTAATACAGTACCAAATGCAATTATACCAAAATGTAAATGTCGTAAACGTAAACGTCCTACAGTTGTCGGTGTTAACGAAAATGCAGCTGATGAATACATTAAAGATGCGATTGAAGTCGGTGAAGCTGATGAAGAAGAAGATGAAATCTCTCCATTATCACTAGGTGGTGCTAATATGGGAATTGGTGGACGTATTTTATGGATTCGTGGTGTAAATCGTATTCAAACACAGGTAAGTCCATGTGTGAGAGATGATGGTGTGTTGAGGGATTCACGAGTTGTTGTTTTTTATCTAGATCTCTATATTTGTCGTTATAGTTTTCACAACACCAAAAATAACAATTTTTTCCCTAAGAAAATTTTCATATTCTTTTCGGTAAGAAAGAATCCCACTTTGATAAAAGTAAAACACTATTAGGTCAAAATCTAAATTTTCCCCTCTTTTGCACTTCACATACCTTAGCTAAGAGCAACTAGATGATATCACTAATTCCCTACTTCTAGAACGATGTAATACAATGTGTGTTATGCACAGAACTATTTACTTGACAACTAAGTTATGACCCTTATTATTAACTGTTACATTTGGTTTAACCGATTATGTCATCGTAATAGTTTGTGTATTCCAAATTGATAATCATTAATAAATGATAGAGTTAAGAATAGTCTTAAAGAAACCTATGCTATTATTGTTTTTCTTTATATAATGAAGTAGTGTTAGTACCTTTGATGTATCATCATCAAACTTAACAAACGGATGCATATTGTATGTTTCTCATAAACAATTGCATAGATTATTTATTATTATCATCAGCTTTATTCAATATCATATACTTTTAGTACAATATAGAATTCTCAACTTAATGTATTTCGGTTGAGATCATGAATCGATTGATGTTAGACCACCATTTAAAACCTGAAAGCATTAGACGACCATTTCGTCCAAGTATGGGACTCCTCAGCAGTACGCATCCCTGATTATGCCCGAACCCAGGACCTTCGGTTTCACGCACGAACACTTAACCTCTAGACCAATGAGCCGGTATCCAATGGTGTTAATCTCTAGCCTCATCCAATCCACGAAATTGCGTGAGCATCTTCCATTATATAGAGATAGATACCTGTCTCCACTGATCACGGCTTCTCACTAGAACTCCGAGAATTCCCTCACGAAGCTAGTCACTAGTGAGCACATGGTAATTACCAGTATAGGGGTTGTGGAGATTATTAAGTTTTTGATTGAGTCGATATACCGATTGATGACAGACCACCATTGAAAACCTGGAAGCACTGGACAGCCTTTTTTTAAAGTTTTCTCACTGAATTTATAGTCGAAATTAAAAAATGCTTTCTTAATGATACTATTCATTATGTAATAGTAGTCTATTATCATATAATAGGTTTTAACAAATTTTCTAATATCCGCATATTTTCAGTTTATTCAAATGAATTTATCATGTTTGGCGCTAATGATAACCTTATAATCGTCGATGGAAATGAGAATCACGATATCTGTGGTATTAGTAATAAATTTAGGCAGAGTCATGTAGTTAATAGAATGTACATATTTGTGCTTAGTAAAATGTTGATTATTATGCCTATACATTACATCGTGGAACTTTTTCAAACAGTAACAATATATAGTAGTAATATTAGTATTTATATCAGAAGGGATTTTTGTGGACAATAATATAATTTCAATAGTTGAGATCATGATTCAATTAAACCTAGAAGGGCTGGACGGTCATTTTGTCCTATTGTGGGACTTCTCAACAGTACGCATCCACGATCCCGAACACAGGACCGTCTAATGCTTCCAGGTTTTCCATGGTGATCTAGCTTCAACTGACTCATGATCTCAACTATTGAAATGAGTACTAATAGTTAATTATTCCATATACCCACAAACGTTCATGCAAATTAGCATGTATATTATGTCGCTTTTTTTTGTCTTGATGTATTTTTCTTAGAAATACTCATTAAGCTGTATAGTTTGATTATCATCGGTTTAGAATTGAATCTCAATCAACTGGTAACAGATTTGAATATCTCATCTCTTTATATACTTCAATTCGGTCAACTAGTACTTATATTAGTAATTTTTATAGTTAAATTATGGCTTAAAGATTAGTATTTTGATTGGATGGATCCTGTTGGATCTGTATAATCTGCTACTACATTGATTTTTCTTGGAAAAAAATTATTCAGAAAGATTGTGAATCTTACATATTAACCTTATAAAGAAAGCAGACAAATAGGTTTTCGTGGCGAGATGATAATTTATGGACGAACCAATTAGATCTAGGATAACAGGTCTTAGATTTTGGGGCGAAATTCATTCATCCATTCACCTAAATAACGTTTTGGCATTATAGCTGATATCAGTTCATGGTGAAAACCCTAAATCTAATTTCCAACCCTAACCATCAACTGTAAATCATAGTTCTAACCCCTCACATTGGGTTATAACCCTCATTTGGTCCTATTTAGTAGGTGGACACCTTCAAAGTCACTTTGGAGTCGCTTAAATGTTGTCCATAAATTATAATCTCACTGTTTCCACAGTGAAATTTCTATTAAATTACGTTTGGTTCTATTTGAAATTCGTCATCCAAATGTACCTGGATCCTAATATTCTTGTTCATACTAGAAGCTAAAGCCATTGCCTTTTTCTTTTAAACGCTCTTACGTCTTTCACTAATCTTTCGAGTTCAAAAATCAATTATCTTAGTCAACAAATATGAAATTACCAGTATAGGGTTGTTGAGTTTTAATTGAGATCATAAATCGATTAATGTTAGACTACCATTCAAAACTTGGACGTACTGGATGGTCGTTTCATCCTAGTATGAAATTATTATATACAAAGATTTCAGTTTCCCTGTTGTCAATATGGAAAACTCCATTTAATCAGTCTCATTTATTGGCTAAAATGTCAGTAGTCAAATTTCAAGATCATGTTTCAGATCAAGTAACTCTGACAATTACATTGTTATCAGTATAGGGTTGTGGTGATTGTTAATTTTTTTATTGAGATCATGAACCGATTGAGGGAATTCTCGGAGTTCTAGTAAGGAGCCATGATCAGCGGAGCTAGTCCGTGTCGGGTAGTGAAAGGTATCTACCTCAGACAATAGAGGATGGTCACGGATTTTCGTGGGGTGGTTGAAGTTAGACATTAACACCGTTGGATACCGAATCAGTGATCTAGAGTCTAAACGTTCGCTCGAGAGATCGATTTCCTGGGTTGGATCGTGGTCGCGCACTGTTGAGGAGTCTCACAATAGGATGAAATGACCGTCAAATACTTCCATGTTTTCAATGGTGGTCTAGCATCAGTTGGTTCATGATCTCAACAACAAAAACTTACATTGTTATTGCTAGATGAAGTTAGTTAATATTATTAATATTATTACTATTATCATTATTATTATTATTATTATTATTATTATTATTATTATTCGCATATTTACAATTACTTATGTACTTATTTACATTCCATCGTATATTTATATGCTTCTATATATTTTACTCTGTTTCCGCCAATCCCCTCCCTCTGCTGCCTCATACAACTAACCAACAATTATCTAATCAACCCACAAATAAATAAATATCCCTCACATTTCTTCATTTACATTTTTTATTTATCATTTTTCTAGATGCAAGCTGTAAGTGGCCTTTCACGAAAGTAACTAACTAAACTCCTTGTGGGGTTGTTTGTTTGTTTGTTTTATTATTATTTTTTATACATAAAGAAAAACGATTGCTTCGGTGTTGTTCCTGTTCCTGTTGTTATTGTTGTTGTTGTTGTTGTCGATGTCGATGTTGTTGTTGTTGTTGTTATATGTGATATTACGTTTTCCAGCTTTTGTTTAGTTTTCATTTTATTATCGCTGTGGTTGTTATGTTTCACTTATGCATACTACCCTTATACCTACTTATTTTATATTCGACTATTTGTGTGCACATTTGTTCCTTATTTTTGTTGTTGTTTTGTTATTTGTTTTACTTCAATCTCTTTATTATTTATTAGATTGTCAAATCTATAGTCAACTATGATATCTTCTATCAATTTAGTTGCCATGACAACATCTAATCATATTCATAATTCTTTACTTCTATTTAAAGAGATCTTTTTTCTCTTTTTTGTTGTTGTTGTTGTTCTCTTTACTTTCTTCTATTATTTACTTTTTTTAAAAGAACACAAAACAAACTGTTTTTAAGCAACAAACAAAACATTTATATATATATATATATATACTTATACATATTTAGGGAAACAAGGTGTCTAATTTGACTGAATGGTTTGTTTTTGAATACCATTGAATTACATAATAACTATTTATGTCATCTGTTCCATTGTATTTTTATAATTAGAATAATGAACATTAAAACTATTTGAGTAGGGTTGTTTGATTTTGGGTTGTTTTTTTAAAAAAAAATTTTTACGGAAGTAAATCGATAGGTTAGTTTTGGTGATAAGACACATTTCCATTGAAGGATCATGTTCATTATGACATCATAAAAAGGAGGTATAAATAATCAATGAAATGAGCCCATATATTTTGATTGATTATGTCATAAAATCGATTAGTTAGTTCATTTCTCTAGTTATCCACGTGAATGTATATTCAATTATATTGATTTTAATCGGATTATTTTTTTATTTTTTTTTAATTAAACATATACATCATGGTATATACATTTATTGATCGAACTTGAAACAGGTACCCTTAGCTGTATGAGATTTTCTGAATGAGAATGTGTAAAAATAATGAAGGATCTCCACAAAACACAAACTCTTTAATATCGAAATGAATGATAAATTAATCAGTGGAGTTCAACCAGGTCTGTTGTGAGATATCGGCTCACTGAAGACAATGGTATACGGTAGCGCAACATCGTGGATTGGTTGAAGTTAGACATTAACACCGTTGGATACCGGCTCAGTGATCTAGTTGGTTAAGCGCCTGGCTCGAGACTGATAGGTCCTGGGCCCGAATCTCGCACTGCTGAGGAATCCCATACTAGGACGAAACGGCCGTCAAACAGTGTTTTCAGGTTTTCCATGGTGGTCTAGCTTCAACTGACTCATGATTTCAATCTGTGAGATAAATTAATCATTGGATTGAATTTGTGTGTTTTGTTTTTAAAATCTATTCAAAAACACTATTAGGAAACTACCTTCAATCTTGATATCGGTTTTTCATGGAAGATCCAAGTAATTAAGTGATAATATTTCTATGTATGACACTGAGTGATGAGTTTAAAACTCACACACAGAGAGAGAATATCAGCTACATTGAAACTGCCGATACACTTAACTACTGACAAGTTCTCAATTTATGAAACCTTGATGATGTAGTGATTCCTGACAAGTACTCATTAATCATCAGACAGAAAAAAACACGATCTATATATTCACGGAAACGGCATATAAAGTCAACCAACTTATTCCACTGGTTATCTTAGATTGAAATTGATTTTCTTAGGATGAAAAGGGGGGGTAATGTCATGTCTTACGTTTTAATTACCGTGACAGTTTTTTTGTTTGTTTCATTCTACATCTATTAGCCATCATTATGGATCTATATAGATGGAACAGTTTTTTTCAACCATATTTAAAATTTATCCAAAGTTGATCAGTTTATTTTTACACTTATCAATTACAGAGAAAGAGATTTATCAAGGCAACCAAGAACAGAATTCAATATTAAAACAACTAATGTCATATGTTTGAGAATGTCTTCATGATATTTCTAGATAAATTCATCGATTATTATAGTTTTACGGTCATTATTCATACTATCAAGGGAAAAGTTATCTTTATGTTTAGTTTGGTTACTACTCAGTAAATTTCCAGTTTATATATAAGATGTTATGTATAATAGTACTTTGAAGTTTCAAGTTATTAAACTTAGTGTTATATAGTTAGTGGTCTTGAGTGCGATTAGAGGTATGAGGGTGGTTATTGATTCCCAATTGCCCACACCGTGGAAGGGTTCTTCTAGAGGTAACTGAAAAGGAAATTGGATTAGAGGTGGTCTTAGTGACCTGAGAGCGTGATCGCAGTGCCCAAGGCACAACTGCTTGAGGTCGGTCACACGCGACCTTTTTATGAGTAATTTTTGTGTTAGCTCCGTACTTGTTGAGACCTTACCACCGGAGACGGATATCCGTGGGATAAGGTGAGGTGTATATTTTTAGGGTAAACCATTTCTAACCCCACCTCTCCTTGTGGGAAGACAGCAGCGTTGTCATGCTGGTTGTCTGAAGGAAACACCTTACTGCTGTCACACTTCTGTACAGTCTGCAGTACGACTTCGCCTTCGGACCTTGGGTTTGCTGCTATTAGTCTTACCGCTCTTCAACCAACGTGTCTGACTGGCATGTTAGAACATTGAGGAACGATTGTCGCAGTCAATATAACTGTATTGGTTCATCACGATAGGCAAGCCCGACCACCACGTCGAGGTAGCAACAATGGTCGGCGTTATATAGTACTTATGTCGATATAAGTAGCTTACACCATAATGGAATTTAACTAGAATCATCACTTTCTTTTTTTAAGTGTACTCTTTTAAAATTGTTATTCTGAATTATTAAACTGTTTATTCCAAATTATAAGTGAACTAACTATAAATTGTACTGATTTTGATACGTCCATTTGACTGTGGTTGAATAATCATATTCATTCAACTTGGGTTATAATAAAATTGTACTGAAAGTGTTTAACCGAATGTTAAGTATAGTCTAAACTGAATACATCCTCCTTCCCTCCATTTTATGTACTTGTATATGGGTGTTATATCCTGATGAGAATAATGAATGGTAACTTTTGGAATCCATTTATGGATCATTACTACACGTATATTTTTATCGTATAATTGTTAAGTAATTAAACTATTCATATTCGTGTCCCTCTTGTCATAAGCTTTATTTTGACCTATGAACTGTTATTATACGATTTACCGTTCTTGAGTCATACTCAGTCTATCGATTACTACCTCCCACATTCACAGCCACATTTGGCTAAATATTGTACAAATGTTGTTTTCTATTTTATGGTACGATGTGGTATGTTTCATTTGTATATAAACTTAGTATGTTTGAAATAAATGATTCATATTGCAGAGGCTAAGATTAGTGTCCTGAACTTAACAGGCAGCGCTAGTCGGGAAGAAGGATCGATAGGGACTCTAGGCTGCTCGTACGTGTCTTATGCGTTATTGGTCCAATCGATAATTCACTGGTCTCTAATTGGCAGTATCATTACGTTATACATTAACAGGGCACATAGACCACAAGTTATAACAATGGGTGTATATGACCCATTAGGGATCTTAATAACTGTGTGTTTGCTTCATAGAATTGAACTATACTATTCAAGTCCTCCTGAATACCAATATAACTTCACACTCTTCCAAGGTATATTTATTATTGTGATTTGTTTATGAGTGTGTGAGCGCGCGTTTCCAACAGATCTAAAACAATACAATCTATCATTTACTCCTATTTTTTTTCTAATGCTGCATACATCTGAAATCTTCAATCAATGTATGACGATTATGTAATCATTGTTTCATTGTCATACATTCCTAATCAATCGAATGTTACAATCACTTCTCAATAGAACAACATTATTGTCAACATTTTTGTTGTATCATTTTAATATTGTGACATTCAGAGATGATGCCTTTTTTTCTTTCTTCTTTTTCTTAAAGTAAATCAAGACTAGAAAATATGACACTGTTGAAGTTGTTGTCATTCCACTTATCAGATTGTTATATATTTATCATCTTGTTTCTTATACATATAGTTTTTCAGTGAAATTCAAAGTTTTCTTCCTTTCAAACATCATTATTGTTTTTCTCGTGTACTACATATAGAGAGATGTGTATCTGTCTATGTAAAACTATCTTCAACTATATGTGTATACATATTCATTTAAACATATCTCTTTTGTCACTGGTTGAAATCATGAATAAATTGAAGCTAGACCACCATGGAAAACCTGGAAGCACTGTTTGACGGCCGTTTCGTCCTAGTATGGGATTCCTCAGCAGTGCGAGATTCGGGCCCAGGACCTATCAGTCTCGCGCCAGGCGCTTAACCAACTAGACCACTGAGCCGGTATCCAATAGTGTTAATGTCTAACTTCAACCAGTCCACGAAGTTGCGCCACCATACACCATTGTCTTCAATGAGCTGATATCTCACAACAGACCTGGTTGAACTCCACTGGTCACGGCTTCTCACTAGAACTTCAGGATATATCTCTTGAAATCAGTCACTACTGAGCTGAGGAGTCCCACAATAGGACGAAACGGTTGTCCATTGCTTCCAGGTCTCCCATGATGGTCTAGCTTCAATTGACTCATGATCTCAACTGTGGAAATTGTTATTATTGTTATTATGGTCTAGTAAGTACTACTTATTTTCATGTCTCTTATCAATAGTACGTGTATACATACATCGATGTATACATTGAATATTAAGTGTATTGTAAGTATTTCTAGGTGAAGTTTTTTTTTGGAATTGAATAAAATTTCAATTTGTTTCTCTCAAAAATGAAAAGTACTAGGTGGTCGGAGATATTTCTAGTTGTCAGGCATCTAAATAATTATGATAACACATAATATTGTGCTCTATTATTTTATAGATTAGATCTTTAGATCAAATGTATGGCTCTTTAAGCAAACCATCTGCTTCTATTTTGAGCACCTAGGCAATAGAACAGCCTTCATATAAATCAAATGATGAAGTGTGGCATACATATATTTATAATGACTCTTTGTACCCTTGTTTATATATTTAACTAAACAAAATAAAGTAATACATGTAACTGCTAATCATAATAATCATAACCTAGACAATTGATGTAACTATTATTGATAATAACATCTAAACACTTACTAAATTGTTTATTTTATATACACTTATATACACTACTTATTATTTACTAGATACTGTACTCACTTTATTCATTTTGATGAATATAAGTATTTTGTTGTTTTGCTGTGTTTGCACCTTACAAAAAAACAAATACATCTATACATAGTGAGTAATAGATGAGAGAGCACTTTGTGTGTGTTTGTGTGTATGTGTGTGTTAATTGAAGTGATATATACATTTTAAGTAATACACATGCACATAGATATAACCTTTGGATATTCCCCCTTATTTGTGGAGTATCATATTTGTTATCTCTGAAATCTTATTATACTATTAATGCTAAAATGGCTATTTATAATATCAAAATTGTTTATATCAATAGTTGAGATCATGAGTCAATTGAAGCTAGACCATTATGGAAAATCTGGAAGCACTGGATAGCTGTTTCGTCCTATTATGGGACTTCTCAGCAGTGCGCATCCACGACTTCGCTTTGTGGGATTTTAACCCAGGACCTATCAGTCTCGCACGCAAACACTTAAACACTAGACCACTGAGCCGGTCGGCATCCTACTGTGTCAATGTCTAACTTCAATTAATCCATGAAATTGATCAACACATCCACCATTGTCATCAGTGAGTTACTATCTCACAACTGACCCAGCTGAACTCCACTGGCCATCGCTTCTCACTAGAACTTAAGGAAATACCTCTTGAAGTCAGTCAATAGTGAGCATATGTTGATTAGTAACAGAAGGGTGTTTTTGTGGACATCATGAGTCAATTGAAGCTCGACCATCATGGAATTTATTGTAAAAAGTTATTTTCATATGAATCATCCATACCATAAGGCATATAACTGTGATATTCTTATCAATCTCCTTATCCTATTATTCTCTCTTTTATTTCCCTATCTTCTTCTCAATATGTATATACAGATTTTACATTGTATTGACTTAATTTCGAAACTTTTAAAGGGAAAAAAGTTATGATCAAGACAGATCATACCTACATATCCACATACATACACATTTATTTACTTACTTATGTATTTACTTACTTACTTACTTACTTACTTACTTACTTACTTACTTACTTACTTACTTACTTACT